TAAATCACTGCTTCTCAGTCTTCGCTGCATTTCAGAATCACCTGGGGAGCTTCTTAAAACTCCCAGTTCCCCAGCCTCACCCCACACCAAAATTTCTGGGTATGAGACCCAGACCTCAGTAGGTTTAGTTCCCCAGATGACTCCAGGGTGCACAAAAATGAGCACTGCTGAGCTAAGTAACACCCTGCGCTCTGTCTTAAGGGGCTGCTCTCAGACAGAGCTCTCGTCAGGAGGCCCTTCCTCTCCCACAGCTCTGGCAGCAATGGGACTGGAGTGAGTGGGCCACTTGGTTTTTTCACTGCCACCTCCAAACACTAGATCGCTCTCCCCCAACATCTCATGCTTTTCCAAACTTCAGGCAGTTCCTGGAACACATGGGGACCTCTTTGCATGCCTGTTCCTTTGCATTTTCTTTTTCTCTACAGTAAATCTCCGAATGCCTCAATCATCTAAAAAGAAAAGTTATTTTGTTTCTGTAAAGCTCATTTTAGCCCTGACCAGTGTGTTCGGTGGTTAGAGCATCGGCCCCAGCACTGAAGGGTTTCAGGTTTGATCCCCAGTCAACAGCATGTACCTGGGTTGCAGGTTCGATCCCCGGGCCCACTTGGGGTGCATTCGGGAAGCAACCAATCGATGTATCTCTCACATCAATGTTTCTCTCTCTTCTCTTCTCTTCTCTTCTCTTCTTTCTCTCTCTCTCTCTCTCTCTCTCTCTCTCTCTCTCTCTCTCTTCCTCCCTCCCTCCCTCCCTCCCTTCAACTCTCTCTAAAAATAAATGGAAAAAATATCCTGGGTGAGGATTAACAAAAAAAAACTTTTAAAAATAAAACTCATTTCATTGGTCACCTCAGCCCTTCCATGAAACCCTCCTCTGTCTCTCAAAGCTTCAAAGTATTGATAAAGTGCTTCCTCATAATGCTTTCTTCTTATAATGCTACTTTAGTACTCATCAGACTGCTGGTGAGGAGCACCTGCCATTATAAGGTGAGCCATTAGTGATATAAATAGGGAAATTCTGAGCACATTAGTCTACAGGGAGCCCAAATTCATCAAATGCGGTGCTAATATAAAATTGAACAGATTATGCTTTGTATCAAAAAAATCTTTTCTTTAGTAAAGATAATTACATTGAAGCTGCAGCTCTATTACAATTGCCATAAGAAATTTGGCATGAGATCAACACTATTAAAGGGATTTAGCTCCTGAAGTACTAACTAGGCCCTTAGCAGAGAACTGGCCTATAGGACAAGCACCAGTTCTGTAGATGGCATTTCATTTAGTTTATATGCACACAGTGAGCTAATAAGCTTAACTAACTCTCATTTTAACACTGCTTCCTATGAAACAGTTAACTTTAATCACCTTTTAGTCATTTATGCTATGAATCAGTCTCTTTTAAAAAAAAGAGAGAGTGTCACCTCTTCTGAGCTGAGCCAAAATAACATGCCCTGTCTCTAGCCTGTCCACAGGAAAATGGGGACACCAACCATTTGATTCTTCACACAGTCACTGGGTCCTTCTTGATCTTACCTACAGTATGAAAAATAAAAAGATCTGTTTCTCTGAATTTATTCCTTTTCCTAACTCCAGGGCCCCATTTGTATAACTCAATCCAGATGTTCCTATCACAGTGGTGCTTAGTGTAAGTAGAGGCCAGCTAAACTGTGTTTTATGCTGAAAACCTATACTCATCTCTCTCACTTAATAACAGTGGAGATATACTTTTGGTATATGTAGAAATGATCTAAATATACCTTTGTGCACACAGCTGCAAACATATAAACTCTTTTTTTTAATCCTCACCTGAGGATATTTTTCCATTGATTTTAGAGAGTGGAAGAGAGAGGGAAAGACAGAAAGAAATATTGATGTGAGAGAAACACATCCATTGGTTGCCTCCTGCATGCACCCCAACTAAGGCCCGGGGCCATGGAGGAGCCTGCAACTGAGGTACGTGCCCTTGACCAGAACTGAACCTGGACCCTTAGGTCTGAAGGTCAAGGCTCTATCCATGAGCCAAACCAACTAGGGCCAAACTCTTTTTTCTTATATACTTAAAACTTGGAAGTACATCACTGATGGGCCACATAGTTTGTAAAAGTGTTTCTTTCTAGGAAATAAAACATTTTCTTATTTATTACAACCTAGTTTTGCCCATTTAGCAATAACATTTTAAATCCAAAAATAATTCTAAAACATTTCTCTTAATGTCTTCTCAGAACTACTAATAAACATAATGATTTTAATTATACCAGGCTCCCTGGTTTCTCCCCTAGTTTAAGCCCCATAAAAGAAATATCTGTAGTTAAGTACAAGATGGGGCAAAAGTAGGTTTACAGTTGTGAGTATGCAAAATGCAGTTTATTAGTGATTATTCATTAATTACTGCAAACCTACTTTTCCTCCACTCTGTAAACCTACTTTTCCTCCACTCTGTATATATATTTTTTCCCAAAGTCAGGAAGACTGTCCAAAGGCAAAGAAGAATTTAGAGTATTTAGTGGTAAAAAAAAAAAAAAAAAAAAAAAAAAAAAAAAAAAAAAAAAACCTCATAGGAGAGTAAGCAAGAAGAAATAGGAAAGGGAGGAAGGAAACACAACAAACCGAAAACATAACAACTTGAAATCCCAAGCTAATGTGCAGTAAACTTTCTTTTTCATTTTCTAGAAAAAAACTATTGGCAGAAGATATAAAAATTTAGCTTTAATCACATATAGAGATGAGGTGACAGATGAAAGGGGTTTGGAAATGTTCTTACCAATACCTTAAGGCTGGTGTATAATAATGTTTCCTAACCACTAAGCCCTCCGGATATGAATAGATATTTTTAAAATAAAGAGATGAATGGTCACACAAGCTAGGAAATTGCCAGCTTTAACAAAATTGACCAGGTTTCTTTATTGTATGACTTCAAAGCCTTTCACGGGCTCATATGCACTGGGAATCTCCCAGAGCCACACAGAGGCAGCAGCCTGCAAATGTGTCTTACCACAGGGCCCTAGTAATGTCTCCCAGAGACCTTTTTATCACAAGTAGTTTGGGGAACACAAGGTGGAGAGTGGGGTGGGGGCTTCCTGCCTGCATTCTTACACACCTGTTTCTGTAGTCTAAGATCTCCATAGTTAGGCAGCTGAGTTGAAGGCTTGGGCTGAGTGCTGGGCTTACTGTTTGCATTGTGATGGGAAATGGAGCAGACAAGGCAGCAGTCTCATACATTAACAGTGACTTGAGAATTCCCAGTTCCTGTCAGATCCTGGGTCACTAAGCCCCAAAGCAAGCAGGAAGCCCACCTCCAGCAGCTCAGATGAGGACTGCTGATAGCAGAAGCACAAGGAGAAGTAACTATTGGCTCTTGCACAGCAGGAGAAAGATAAGGAGGTTGGTCACAAAAGCCCTTTCAGACAGGCCTTCCATTCATTCATCCAGGTGACTCCCAAGCCCATTTGAAGGCAGCAGCTGGCAGAATGCCCACTAATTTTGCTGTGACAAAGTCCAGGTTTGCTGTTGGTGCAAATCCAGAGCCTCATCTCATCTAGGTCCTCCTTAGGGGGACGTGGTGAAAGCCTCAATTGCCAGTGTTATGGATCACTGTCTTCCTGTATACAGAGACATTCTGACTCCAATGATGGGGAGGGGAGGGATCTGCAGGAGATGGGCCTCAGTTTGGGAGCTGGCTCTACTATTTACTAGCTATGTCACCTTGGGTGACTTGCTTAACCCCTGTATGCTTCAATTTCCTCATCTGTAAAAACAAAAAGGATAATATTAGTACCGATGCCATAGAATTTTTGTGAAGATGAAAGAATGCATTGAAAGCACTTTGCTTAATGCCTGGTCTATTGTAGATGCTCAATATACAGAGTCAATAATTAAACGAGCAGAAATTATAACCAGAAAAATGCTTAGGGTGGAACTGAAACTGGGCATTAGATATATAGCAGAGACTCGATAAATACTTATTGACAGATTACCCAACAACATCTCTTAAAGCCATTGCTGGAGTATTGGAAAAGAGGTTCTCACTTGTTTATATGTGGTAAGGAAGAACGGGGCTTTTATTCCACTTCAAACTGAAGCAGGAAATCAATACCTCACAGTATTTACATCTCAAGTTTGAGTGAATGCCAAAAACCATCTAATTCTCTAAAAGGACAAACAAGTGTTAAGTGGTTTTAGTGACTCAGCAAGTCCTGAGATGCTGCATATGGAAAGGTATGCTCTGAACTACCCAGAGCAATACGGTAGAAACTGAGAGTACTTACTGAGAAATTGCCCAACATTTTCTGCCAAAAGTCAGAGAAGGTCTTTAAAGATAGAAAGTCTCTTAAGCAGAAATGAATGAAAAGAAGGATCTATTGCACCCTTTACCACACTCCACAGATTGCTGCTTGCTTCTCATTTTCAACTCTACAAAGAATGGTGATGAATAAGGCCAGAGTAGCACATGTAAATAAGGCAGAATAAATTCACAGGTGAAAGAGCTTTTGGTGACATGCTTTCCCAATTCCCGCTGTTTCAGCTTATTTTTCCAAGGAAAAATACTATCCTAAAGAAAGCGCTGTGGGCCCAAACCACAGCACTAACCCCAGGTTAATAAGCATTTCTTTTTAGTTTATTCAGAATTAACACAGCTCCTAAAATACATATGAAACTATACTGTAGGCACCAAGAGTGCACATGCTATACAGAAAAACCATGTCCCCCACCTCAATTAGAGAGATTCCCCATTTACTACTCCCTGTCTGTATGAAAACCACATGCAACCTTCTACAGCCAAGAGTGAACTAGTACACATTTTCTTTGTTGCTTATTGAGGAAATTTCCCCTTTTCCACATGAGGTTAGGGGACTAGCTAGATAAGAAAAAGTTCAACCATTCTCGGCTCTTGGAAACCTGACCGGCCAGTTGTGTGGCGATCCACCCTCACAAAGGAAGCACAGTGGTAGGACAACTGTTCTCTACCACCCAACAGTTTACAGAAATCAACATCTGTCTCCTACCTGTGATGGACATGGTCTCGGAGGGAGCGCAGGTGGTGGAGGTAACAATCCTGACTTAGTAGCTGAAAAGAAAAACATACTGTTAAAGACCACCAAAAACAAAACACAACTTCCACTTGTTAACTAGGAATAGCATATTTTGTTACTTGTTGTTGTTGTTGTTAATCTTCACCTGATGATATTTTTTTCCACTGATATTTTTTAGAGAGAGTGTAAGGGAGGGGGAGAGACAGAGAGAGAAACATCAACATTGATGTGAGAGATACACATCAATTGGCTGCCTCCCACATGTATCCCGACTGGGGCTAGGAGATTAAGCCTGCAACTAAGGTATGTGCCCTTGACCAAAACCGAACCCAAAACCCTTCAATCTGTGAGCCAACGCTCTAACCACTGAGCAAGACAGGCTAAGGCAGGAAAAGCATTTAAGTTGTTAAAGTCCATCTAAAAGCTTAATTTTTTAAAAAGAGTACATGCTTTTTCTAATCCCTTTTTTCATTTTTATCCCACCCAATAGTCAAGTATTTATATAGGCTGTTGTGATTAAGAAAGTGTAAAATGGTAAGAAAAAACACTCTGATAAAAAAAAATTGGAACCCAGCACAGGAAAGGCAGTCGATCGCTCGTTATTCTGCTGTTAATTTTTTAGTTTTAAATGATCTAGATCCTTTGTTCTCCCTAGCTGTGGGCTATGACACTGTCCATTGGCTCAGTGAGGAGGCTGCAGAAACTAAGAGAGCCAGGATCGATCCCAAGGCAACAATAGTGCCCTGTGAGTGAGTGGGTCTGGTAGCAGTAGGGAAAGCTGAAGTGATGGACTAAAATGATATTTAGGGGTTCTTCAAAGATCACAATTTCCTTTTCGCTTCCTAATCCTTATTATCATGGATAATTAAATCTGTTTCTAAAATCACCTGGTCCCATCTGAAGGATCTTTAGAAAGAAACTTTCAGTCTAATTTTTTTTATTTTGTGAGATATAGAGGAAATTTTAGTTAAGCCAAAAACATTAGAATTGTAACTTAATGAAAATAAACATCTGCTATTGAATTATAAATAAAGCTCATAATCACACAAAAAATAAGTTTATTATTACACACTGGCAAGTTAAACCACATTCTTTACAGACTCCTTAGAAAAGCACAGCATGCTCTATATAACTATATATAGTTTATTTGCAAATCTGTAATATGTGTGCTAATATTTAGACAATTTTCTGTGCCTTAAAAATAAATCATAGCAATGTGCCAAGAACATAGAAGTTTCTGCAAATCACTCTTGATTTGTCCTAGCTAGATCAGACAAGCTAGAAGATGGAGTTTGGGGCTTTCCACAAAGGTAACTCAGTAATTTCATAGAGATTTTCATTCTGAGCCAGTGCATAAATATGGTACAACCATGTCAACCCATCAATGATTTCTCTCAATCTGTATTTCATTAAAAGTTATGAAATAATCAGTGGGTCAAAACTCCAAAGTTGATGAGACCTTGAACAGCCTTCGATAACAAAGCACGCAGCAACAGAGAATGACAAAAGCCTCAGGAATTATCCATCTCAGGGCCCCTACTCCACAGGTCCTCATGGACTGGTCCTTTAAATTACCAGCTACTTTAAAAACAAAATGAAAACACAAACAAAAAAATCTCTATGTGCTTTTAAGGGAAAAGCTTTGCACCAGCATTAATGTGTTTGTTAAAACAACCCTTTATTAAAAGAAGACTGAGAAATATTCCATTTAATTAAACTGACTTCTGCTTCCAGCCAAGATGGCCAGATGAAGGCATGAGGGCCATACTGAAAACAGGAAGATTAGTAACATATGTACTCTGGATGCTGAGTCTCTTCCAGCCCTCTTCCTCTCTGCTCCCAGACTATTACATCCAAAGAGTGAAAGAGTGTGCTCCAGGTAATTGAACCAGTCAACAAGGAAGATCTAGAGTCTTCCCAAAGTGGGCGCTACCACTCCCTGGTGGGCGCTGCAGCGATCCCAGGGGGCGGTGATGGCCACAGGTGCATTTGTTTTAACTTTTTTTGTATTACCTTTCTATTCTGAGTTCAATAAGTAGTTTCATAATTTCAAACTTCAATGTTTCTAATTTACACCTTTCTTTACTATATTTTACGAAAAGGGTAGAAACATTAATACATATATCTTTCTGTTTAATTGCTATTAAAATTTAAAAAAAAATTAATTTCCAGGGGGCGCTGAGTAATATTTTTTCTGGAAAGGGGGCGGTAGGCCAAATAAGTTTGGGAACCACTGATCTAGACACAAACATAAGGAGATATCCAACAAGATGGCCAAACAAGATCATTCTACCATGAAGCCCACAGATAGCAAGTCCCATCTATTTATTCTTTTACTCCAGTCAGCTTTTAACCCCCATTCTTAAATATAAACAGATGATGAAGTATCACCAGATATCTGCAGAAAATTTTCTAATCTAAGAGCAATCTATAATAATAAAAGCATAATATGCTAATTAGACCGGACAGCCAAACTACCTTCCGGATGTCATTCTGGACGTCCTTCTGGACAAAGCTGCAGTGGCAAAGGCCGAGGTAGAGGCAGTTAGGGGTGATCAGGCAGGCAGGTGAGTGGTTAGGGGCTATGAGGCAGGCAGAGCAGTTAGGGGCGATCAGGAAGGCAGAGGTGGTTAGGGGTGATCAGGCAGGCAAAGGTGGTTAGAGGCATCAGGTAGGCAGGCGAGTGGTTTGGGGCGATCAAGCAGGCAGAGGCGGTTAGGAGTGATCAGGCAGGCAGGTGAGTGGTTAGGGGCGATCAGACAGGCAGGCAGAGGCGGTTAGGGGTGATCAGGCAGGCAGGCAAGTGGTTAGGGGTGATCAGGCAGGCAGGCAGAAGGGTTAGGGGCAATCAGGCAGTCATGCAGAGTGGTTAGGGGCGATCAAGCAAGCAGGCAGGCCAGCGGTTAGGAGCCAGTGGTCCCGGATTGCGAGAGGGATGTCCAACATCCCCCGAGTGGTCCTAGATTGCGAGAGATTGCAGGCCAGGATGAGGGACTTACCCCCCTACCCCGTGCATGACTTTTGTGCACCAGGCCTCTAGTAAAAATATAAAAAGGTAACACCAAAAAAAAAGATTAGATCTATACTAGGAGAAAAATTTAAATGTATATTATTAATACCGTCAGAAAGATAATCCAGCTTATTCCAGAAATATTTAAACATTTACTATGTGCTAGACACTTTGAGATTCTGGTAAAATACTAGTGGGGAAAAAAGTAGAAAAAATATCTCTATCCTCATGAAACATATTCTACAGATAACGGGGTCAGAATTGGGAATGCAATTTTAAATAGAGTCATCAGGGAAAGTCTCAATGAGAGATAAATGTTATTTATAAAGATAAAATAATGGGATGCTATTGGAAAACGAACATTCAAAAAATTAAAAAGAGCACTTGGAAATTAAAAACATAATAGCAGAAAGAGAAAGCTTAATAGAAAGGTTCTTTATATGTCTGAATGAAACTTATTTGATCCTTGATGCAAAGAATATTTCTGAGTTGTCTTTGTATCTTTTTTTTCCTATCACCTTGCCCATGGTAGGTGCAATCAATCGTAAAACAATGTGTGACTGGTATGTGTGAGGCACTGTGCTAGGCATTGGGATACACAAAATGAATAGATGTGATCACTACAACGAGTTCTTTAGGAGATGATAGGTATAAAGAGAGCTGAAGGTTTATGGGACAAGTTAAACCTCATTCTAAGTGTAGGCACAGTTATAAAATATCAAGATGTTAGGGATCTTTTTTAAAAGTATTTTTTTATTGATTTCAGAGAGGAAGGGAGAGCGATATAGAAACATCAATGATGAGAGAGAATCATTGATTAACTGCCTCCTGCACGCCCCCTACTGGAGATCGAGCCCGCAACCAGGCATGTGCCCTTGACTGGAATCTAACCCAGGATCCTTGAGTCCATAGGCCAACGCTCTGTTCACTGAGCCAAAACGGCTAGGGCAAGATGTTAGGGATCTTGAAAGCCAGCCTAACTACAGACTTAATCCTGTGGCCAACAATACTTAATTTCTTCATTATATATCTTTTAACATTCAAAAATAAAAGCTTAATAGAAAGTTTCAAAGATAATCTGAGGAAATCTTACAGAAAGTATAGTAATATCCAAATAAAAGTTCCACAAAGAGAAATAGAGCAAATAGCAGGAAGAAATCAATTAAATAGTTCAAGAAAATGTCCCAGAAATGAAGAATATGAGTTTCGAAATTAAAAGAGCCCACTGAGTACCCAAGACAATGGGGAGAAACAAACAAAACAAAACAAAACAAAAACAGATCCCTGGCAGGGTACATCAACATGAAATTTTAAAATACTGGAGTTAGAAGATTCCACAAGTTTCCAGCAGAGGGTGGTAGAGGAGGGCAAGCCTCATATAAATGATCAGGAGTCCATATGGTTTTAGACTTCTTAATATACTACTGGAAGCTAGAATTCATTGGAACAATGCCATTAAAATTCTGAAGAAAACTTATTTCCACAATAATTGTATGCCCAAACTAGCAGTCTTCATGATGGTTCAATTAAATATATTTTTAGACATTCAAGGTCTCAAATTGAGTTCCATGCACCCTTTCCAAGAAAGCTACTCAAGGATATTCTCTACCAAAACAAGAGAATAAACCAAGAAAGAGCATGACATAGATACAGGATAAAGTAGATCCAACATAGGAGAAAGAAGAAGGGAATCCTTGGATGACAGTGTAGGGAGATACCATGATAAAAACTATATAACATGCATAGAAGACAATGGCTTTAGATTTCCTCAGAAGATGAAACTAATACCTGATGTGTCAGAATTTCATAAGAAGAACTTTGGAACACTGAGTCTACAGTTGATTCAGGGGCAAGTACATTGAAAAGAAAACAAGCTGTGCAAGGAAGAAAAGTAAATAATGTAGCAAATGGCTTACATAGCCATAATAAGATAAACACTAAATACTAATCTAACTAAAATTATAATATAACTATATTGGGAGAGTGGAAGAGGGGAAAGGTGCTGGGGGGGAGACAATAGATGAT